ACACTCGGAAATCAGTCATGAAGACTGCGGATTTTGGAACCGGGATTCTCTGTAACTTATGCTTTCGAACGTATGTTTGTCTTCCTAATTGTAACAGATAATTTCTAGATTTTGTGTTATAGACTTATATATCTTCATGGACTGAGTTTCACCCAGAATACATTTCTGTCTAACTGCTGCTAAATAGATTTAAATTTTGTATTCGTCCATTTCTTTTCATATTCATATTGCCCTTTTTATTTTCATGGTGTTGCTATGTGTTATGCCCGTTATTTTGTTGCTGTAGAGTTTGGTATTCTCGTTAGCACCATAAATCAAATTTCCCTGAGGCATAAGCGACAGGTTGGATGATATGCTATTTGGTTATTTTTTGAATATGAATGCGTGTTCCTACCTCGTCATTACGTCGATCACAGGCACAGTGATACTTAGGTAATCAAGCTGTAAATGGCAGACAATTTTTTCGGCAAGAACGCACATACTTATTCGCCATTGTAATGTGGAATCTATAGTAGGTGTTCAATCGGTGGTAGCTGTCTCTTCGAGATACGTGCTTATTGATTTTAAATGTAGAACCCCACTAGAAGCCAAAATACTCGTTATAATTCCATTTACCTCATTGTTCAGCTTAGAAGCCACGTATTCTGTAAACCCATTGCTAACATTAAAAATGCACATCGTTGAAACTGGGACTTTGATTGCTAACAGCCATAGCGTTGTCTAAATGGAATTTCAGATTAAAGGAACCGTATCGTCTTAAGTGTGGTCACGTGTTCTGCCGAACGCCCTGTCTTATTCCCCCGGGAGACGTCTCCCCCTCCGTGATCGTTTGTCCAAAATGCAAAATCAGCTTCCACATCAGCTCCGTTCGTCCGGACACTCATTTGGCAAGTCTTATTGCTGAAACCCAAAGAAAGCAAGGAAGATGTGAGCTATGTGCGTCTGTTTCAAGATCGAATAAAACCTGCCAGCACTGCGATAGAAATCTTTGTTTCTTATGCGAAAATGAACATGTTCAAGAGGTAGGTGACGATTTCTTCTCTTGTACTTGATCGAGGCCTAAATCCACCACTTCCACGTATTGTATGTCGTGCTGGCCGAATTCGTGGGTGGCCCTCACTGGCTGACATAGGTTTAAAGGAGTGATTTGAGAAAAGCACGCCAGATGCGCATGTTTCCTTTTGATATGTAATTGGAGTGAATTATGAGAGGCCGTTGTTGTTTATTGGCTGTTGTAAATACATAACATATTCAAATATGGATGCAGAGAATGTGTTATTATTTTTGGAGTTGAAATAGTGTCCACTGACGTACTCGACACTGTGCGACAAGTCCTCAAACGATGAACTGAGAAGTAGGATAAAAGTAGGTGTCGACCTGAGAAACACGAAAGTTAGTGTCTGTTTTCAAAGTGTTGCGGGTTAGAATTATACAAAAACGACCTCAATCTCGTAAACTGAATGCTGTTTCATGTTTTAGGTTATTACCGGTATCAATGCAAAAATGATGACATTAAGAAACGCCAGGTTAAAACTTGAGAGGACTATGAAGGTTGGTGCATCGCGTGGCAATGCAGGTGGCCGATCTGGTCTCGAGGCAGGCATTAACGAGGCCATTCGACAGCTCAGATTGGCGGCGGATGATGCACTGGAAAAGGCCAAACTGGATATAGTTTTAGAGGAGGCCAAGAAAAAAGAGCAAATTGTTGCGGCAGTAGGTGAAATGTCAAGGCTATCCTCCTTGGTTAAATGCAAGGATTTTCGAAGGAATCAGTTCTGTGTAAGTTTGAATGTTCAAGTCATGTTTGAATGGAAGAAAACGCGTTTTTGACGCTGGTGAAGTGGCCAGGTAACGCGCACCCGGAGAGCCACTGCATGGGGGTGTCATGACAACGAACGCCTGTGGTTTCTCGTTGATGTGGGGTAATCGCTGTGTCACGATGTCGATTTTGTTATCATTCTGCGGGCAAGTTATTCTCGGTAAACGTGATTTTACCCGATGCGAACTTAAATCCTTGAACGATTGCCTACATTTGGTGAACTTAGCTGGATGATGGACTGGCATAAAGTGAATTCTGTGTGCTTAATTGTTCCCGCCTTGCATTGTAGTTGGTAGCCTGTTTGGCGTGCACGTGGTTCGAACTATCACCAGGACAATCACAAGTGTTTGATTTTTGTTTGCTAGGATCTGAAGACCTTGTGTGCACGCCGAGATTCGATGAGGCAGCTTGTGGAAGATGCTAGAGCTCTGGAATGTACCGTGAGGGATGTGAAGAAGAAGAACCTGTTGAGTGATTACTCAGTGGCTCAGAAATTTACGATGGTAAGTAGAATGACAAGGTGGCTGCTTCCATCATCTTTCGATGTAAATAATGAAGTTAAATCTAGAACATAGATCCAGTCTATGTGCCCCGCACAGGCTGAGTTAGAAGCTGATTAGCATTTTTCTACAACGCTTGAATTTTCATCGTCTTGTTCCGGCAAGCACGTTCACGTCACGTCATCAGGGCATTCGAACCATTGGAACCAGATTAACGTTTTCGTACACATCCGAAGTCAGTCATTCTTTGATGGCCGACGAAAGTTCGCTTAGTGTCGAAGAAATAGATTTTTGGCAAGTTGAAAGCGAGGCTGTTGAGCAGTGGAGAGCAGTTCGCTCACCTGGTCAGGCCAATTGTTTAAACGAAGGTGCTAAACACGTAACCTGTTCTACTGGATTGTCGCTAATTGGTACCTGCCTCTTCAGGAAGGCATTTCAAATTTCAAAATATAGGTTGTGATGCGCCATTTCTGTTTGTCAGAAGCGAATTCCTGCTCGACGGAGCACTTGAAACACATTCCATCGTGTGCTCTTTACCGCAACTCATACCAGCTATTTCCGTAATAACTGCTTTTGCTTCTTGCGTTCCTAGATTTCCACTCAGTTTGTTGGATTTCAACTTGTGATTCCCAGCACAAACGAGCCAGTCAATTTGGAGCAACTTTTAGGGAAACCCTCGGGAAAGAAAACTACCCACAAGTGAGTTGCGTGTTGTCCGTGCCCACTGTCCTTTCTTGCACCAATTCCATAATTATTTCCGCTCGGTAAGTTGTGGAAAGCCACTGTGTCATGTTGACGAGGGCATTTATCTCGGTCAGGGTGCGGTTATTTGAAGACGCACTCAAGAAAAGGCCTGGTGTCAAACTCTGTAGCAGTGATTAGTTTTGGAGGTGAACTGTTAGTCCAGGCCTGTTAAAGCAAACATTTTTCAAGAAAATGTTGACGTTGATCGAAATGCCTTCGTTGCATCGATTTATAACAGCTCGGCGATTCGTAAACTACTATCGTGAATCGTGTTTATTCAACCCCTTAATCCGATCGCTCCGCCTTCGCCACAACTGCCTCTTCATTCACACGAATATTTATCTTGGGTTATCCTCACGCCTAGGTCTCGATGTTAGCGCATATATGGCTCACATCCGAGGTATAAATACACGCGCAAACCCCACACGCGACACCATCGTGGTTGAGCTCTGAAGTAAACGGTTGTGTCCACGTCTTCTCTGGCCTTTTTCTTTATCACGGGTATCAGAGAAGCCTCGGCGTGGTTCAAGACCACATGCTGGGGCCCACAACACTACAAATTGTGAGTTTAGCATTCGAGGGACTTACGACACTGTGGTCCCATTGTTTGAATGCTCTTTTGATTTCTCCTATTTATCAGTTTGCTGATGTTTGGGCCAGAATCTTTCGTCGTGGTGTTGCATTGTTTCGTGACTCCAACACGATTTCTACGGCTTTGAAGTGGTCACTGTATTCCTCACTGGTGTTCCATATCGAGTTGAGATTTGCCTGTAATCAAACTCTGCTTGAGATTCAATGCGTCTGTTTACCGCCTTGAGCTGACGAGGTTGATTTTGTTACTATAATTTGGAATCTATGCTTTTTAAAGAGCCTGATAATTTCACCAACCGAATCAGATGTCTTTTGATGCTTGCAAAATACCTTGTGCCCTAGGATTGCTTCTGGTGGCGATTGGGACGTCGCCGATAGAAGCCTCTGGATAGGTAACTTGGGTCCCAGTGCCACGGAAGCAGATTTGTTCAAGTACTTCTCGACCTTCGGTGCCATCACGGATGTGGCCATACCCAAGGTGAAAGGGAAGTCCGAATCGCGTGGTTTTGGCTTCGTGACCTTTAAGGAGACAGACAGTGTCGCCAAGATTTTGTCCTCTCAGCCCCATTTTGTCGCGGGGACGCAGGCAATTGTTCGACTGAGAATTAATCGAGGTCGTAGCGTTGCGAGGTGAGTGGTGTATCGATAGTTTGGCTTTGCCTGTGTGTGTGTGTGTGCGTGGGAACATTGATGGTACAGACTCCATTTAGTGCAGCTGTGAAGGATCCGCACAGGTTGGCTTGTGGTCACATTGTGGACGGTGCTCGACAGGGAGTAAAAACTGTTTCCCAACCTATCAGCCTGGTTGATTGGTGGGACGGAAACCACGTCGATCGGTGCAGGGTTCTACAATCGACAAAGATATATTGCAGCGTTTTTAGCGAAGACACTGGTGCAGCCTATGTGATCGGATTAAATCGCATCAGAAGTACACTGTAGCATTTAGAAGACAATTAAAACACATTGTTTGTGAAATTGTGTATTGCCATTGAAGGAGTCGTTTTGGTTTGTTCACAGGTCGGATGATGTGCAGGAAAAGCCAGGTGTGGAGTATGAAAAGAAAAAAATCATCGTCCGTCAACTTGATCAGAATACCACTGAGAAGGACTTGCAGGACTATTTTTCGAAATTCGGAGCTATTAAGAAGGTGGTGATAATTCGCAAACCGCAGGGTCAATCGTGCTGTTTTGGCTTTGTTGAGTTTGAGTCTGAACTGGCGATTAAGGATGATCTTGTTGGATGCTCTCACTTCATTGGTGGAAACCAAGTGAAGGTAAACATGGCCTCGGTGCGAGGCAACCGTGGCCAAAAAGGGTAGGTACGCTTTTGTTTTATACCAAAAACCATTTAAGCAAAATGAGGTGGTGATAGGAATCAGCCAGTAGATAAAATGTCTTTCCTTATAATGCATCTGGGAAAGTCTCATGGCTTTGCGTGGCCAAGGTATGGTTACTTGATAGTTTTGTGCTGCTTTGTCTTAGGTTGTGTGTGTGTGTGTGCGGGCAAGTATGGAACAGCAAAATTCAACGCACAAGAAACGAGGGTAGCTTTCTCCATCGTGTTTTTTGCCCTTGTTGCTGATACAACACACAACACAACGCGTCAAAGAACTTGTCTATTTATGCCTTTCGAACACGACGTGCTAACATTGGTGCAAGTGTAAATAGTGCGCATTGATTGGAATCATAAATGCGCGATCACTTATCGCCGTGCTCGGGTCGGGATTTGTTGCAGGCCACTGTGTGGAATTGACCCTTTTTTAGGCTAGAGGAGACAGGAAGGAGACCAGCAATGGTAGGGACGTGCGCGTGTGCTGTCCAGCGTGTGTATTCAATGTGATTATTGACCAATGGAGCCTGGGTGAAGTAGCAAAACTGCAAATGTCTGAATGGTTAGGTGGGTAAAACGGATATTGGTTGTGGTACAAGCACAGAAGTATGTGCGGATGGTTGTGAACCAACACAATTCACTACAGACTATTTGTCGGCGGTTGCTATCTGAAACTTGTGACTTTAAGCTAATCGAGAGTAGGATTTGTAACGCAGAACTCGTTCCTAGGTAATCCAGCTAGGTAAATGTTCTAATTGTGAAGCTGCTTAAGTTACAGTACAAGTGGATTGGTCTCGCGTGTGTGGGTATTGACTGACTGACTGGACAGGGTGAGGTAGACGTGAAGACGGTCAATTTTGTTGGTACATACTTTCATCGGAATCATTTTTTTTAACCCTTAAATCATGGTAACATGCAGAGACAAGTTGCTCAGGACAAAGCTCGGATGATGATACTTGGATTGTTTTTTCCCAACTAGAGGAGACCAAAAAACAAGTGATGCACCAGCCAGTGGACAGACTACGAAGTCTCGTCGGAAGGCCAAACGTTCTAATACAGTTAACAAAGTCGAGTGAGTTTAAGTTGTACCATTTTAGTCAGTTTAATAAGTGAATTTTCTAGTTGTGAAGCTGTATAAGTTTCAGCACAGGTTGATTGCTCGCGTGTGTGGGTATTGACTGAGTGTGGAGATATTGAGGTAGACATGAAGATGGCAAATTTTGTTGGCACAAAGACAAGTTGCTCAGGACAAAACTCGGATGATGAGACTTGGATTGTTTTTTCCCAACTAGAGGAGACCAAAAAACGAACGACGCACCAGCCAGTGGACAGACTACGAGGTCTCGTCAGAAGGCCAAACGTTCTAACACAGTTAACAAAGCCGAGTGAGTTTTAGTTGAACCAATTCAGTCAGGTTAATGAATATTTTCACAAATAATCGTGATGGGTGTTTAGCAATATCACGGTTTCTCCTTTAACACCACGAATCGGGGTGGGTTACGTAAATCAGACGAATCTATTACAGGAGGGCATCTTGACACATGAGGCCTCATTTTGTGAGGCATGGCTCTAGAGGCAATCGCAAATCCCCTCAATTTGCACCATGCGCTGATCTCGATGTCTTTTTTTTGGTTAACCACGCACAACACCCCACTTCTCTGCGCTTGAAGTGGTTGGTTTCACACCTGAGTCACTGATCGACTTGGAAGTCAGTGTGCTCAAAGACCATTAATAAGGTCGTTGAGCCAGAAAATGCTGGTAAAAGCACAATCTTGGCGGATTATCAGAACAGTCATACGCGTGGTTATTTCGGTTCACTCATTAGCATGCCCCAGAGATTTACCAAACAGTAGAACAGCATTTATTGCCACAAAACGGTTCTGTATCTACATTACAAATAATGGCATACATTTTAAGCACTTGTTGCACGACCGTGTTATAACATTTTGTACCATTTCCTATTGTGATTGTAATTGAGGTTGGAGTACATTTTGGCTGCCCTGTAATTCTGGCAAGACTTGATGCTTGGCATTGTTTTTCGCCATTTACAGCAAAAAGGACTGTGGTAAGGTCCCGTCGACCAGTCAGTCCGTGAAGCCTACGTCACCAATCACGGCAGGAGGTGCAAGCGGATCGTCCAATGTGTGAGTAAACTTAAGCACAAGACAGTGCCTGCACCTTTTTTTAACGTCTCTACAATGCTACCACGCATGTGATCGCAGGTGACAGGTTATTGCCGGGGGGGGGGGGAAGTGAGAAAAGGCAATTGCTTTGAGATTAGACTTCAACTTGCACCTGTCAATGCTAATCGGGCTGAACGTCGTAGCGACAGCACTGGATCGACTTGTACAGGGCATAACGAGGCGACTGTCGGAGGTCCTAGCGGTTACGATTAACCCTAGATGACGACGTTGAGAAGATGGTGAAACCTAACCCCTCACACTCCTACGTAAATTAGCAAAGGGCCAGAAGTAGATTTGTTTGTCCAACTTCGTGAAGGGCTTCAAAGTATGCCTGTGGCAGGTGGGGGTGTGCTGTTGTTAGAGTTGGAGGACAGTGTGTTCGCAGGGACCATTTTGAGTAGTGCAGAATATCTGTCAAGTTGAGTACAAACGAGAGTCGTCTCGCGTTTTGCTCGGGAAAGTGCCTGTCATTAATTGCGAGACGAGAGTGCCCGTAGGTCCACAAAACCCGTTATGCACAGGGTACTTCACTTACCACGGCCATTGATGGGTTTCGTATGAGCCGGTTGCTGTGTTTGTCCGTCGGCGATCCCATCAGTAAATATGATTTGCTCGTAACAGTTTGTTATGGCGAAAAGCTGTCCAAGTGCCGTTGGAGTTCTGCAAACCTACAGACTAGGGATTTGGGAAAATGTGCAGCTGTGCCGCACACAGAGGCTTTTTTTTAACAACAATGCTATTTTTCAGGTTCGAGCCGACTATCCCTGCTCTGCGGTCCGTCTCGTCTGCCTCGTCTTCAATGTGAGTATCCGTTTGATTTGCTACAACTGTGACGCGCTTGTTTGCGTTGCCCTCCAGTAGACGGAGAATGCGAGTGAGGCGGTTGTTTGGAGGAAGCAGGATATGGAGAGCAGTCATTTGCGATTGTGGGCGAAAGTTGTTGAGTGTTCTTAGTTAAACAGATATAGGAAGTGTGTTGTGTAAGTGGTTGCAATAATTAAACAAGTTGTTATTATTATTGTTGTTGTTGTTTTCGTTAGCCGGTCACCGAGAACACTGGGTATGTCGGCAGCGCGAGGGAGTGTGCTACAAGGAGTCCCGACTCTTCAGCCTTGGTTAGCTGCAACTGCTTCCCATTCTAAAGAAAGTCCCAAGTGAGTTTGAGAGCTGCTGTTGTAGTCTTTGCTTCAGTCTATGCGCTATTTACTCGTTTTCGTGGAATGTTTTCCGACATGTTTGTCGCAAACGCGCATTGTATGGTTCCCGTTTTGAAAGTTAATTATTGTTAATTCGAAACAATTCATCGACCGAAACGAAACTTGAAATTTCCTGAGAACTGAACTGAAATATTTTTCCTGAGCACATTAGGCCCAATTTTGTGTGATGTTGTCAATTTTTTTTTGCATTCATATATTTACGTTCTGTCCTCGTTTTTGTACTATTCAGGCCCACTTCTTCTGCTACGCACTCGAACTTCGAGTTACCCGAAACTGTGATTGAAACGTATCCCTATGTCATCCGTCTGTATGGCTTTGCTGAATTTATCTCTGCGTCAGATCTGAGAATTCTTGTTTCGTACTACGGAGCGATTGCTGGCATATCAATGCATTCTCACGGTTCTCAGCGGTACGCCTTGGTCGCCATGCATTCGCGTCGCAGTGCGCAAGAAGTCATTGACCAAAGTCCGCTTACAATCAACAATTCTTTTGTCCTAGCCAAAGCACATTCTGAGGCACTGAAGCAGGAACTGCCTCATGTAGACCAGAGGTTGGTGCCATTTTTTTAAATTTACGGATGTTTCCTTTCTTAGCACACACTTGGGTCTCCAGTTGGAGTGAGTGCATAGCTGCTTTGTGGGTCCTTAGCGTGTACCAATTACCGCAAGTCTGGTTATTGTTCGATAAAGTCACCGTCGACACTCCAGTGTTTGCAGGAGCCGCAGGTGGTGTTAGACTCGTCTGGTGACACCGTCAGGACGGGGATCAAGGGCGTGGTCGGATCGTGTCGTCGCCGGTGCGTGCAGACAGATCCACTGGTCAGGTTGTGTAGGCTTGAGTTCTCACACATCCTCCGCACTCTTCCGTGCCGGGCAGCACACCCCTCCCTCGAACTGACCACCCTGCCAGTGGTACGCGGGTGCTGTGCCGAGTCACCTGAGGCGGGTTTGAGTCCCACATCGGCCAACCAATTAGCTGCTGCCTATTTCAAGCGGTGCACATGGTTGGTGGTAAAGTGATTGGCCATCACACGGCCTGACTCGAGCGCTTCGTAGTGTGTGAGGTCATCGTAGCCCCTATTCACACGATTCATATTGCAAGCGTGGATGTCTTGCTAGCTCATTCCCGCCCACCGTTTAATTCTTAAGCTTAACACTTAGGCTGAGGAACCACTTCTCGTTGCTAATGGTACTTCAATACAGGACCTCCAGTTAGGTCCAAGAGTGTGAACTGTGTAAGTGAATTGGCTACAATTGTGGGGCTCTGGTGTTCCATGCGGGACTCACACTCTCTTCTTTTGAATCTTGTCTATGTGCCACTCCAGGTGGCGACACTTGGTCTTCTGGTAATAAATCATTGGCTCGGCTGTCACCCGCGTGGCCTGACGTACATTCACCTCTCAAAGGCACCTCGAAACGGCCTCAGCAGAAATCAGTCGGACGGTCAAAACGAGATCACTTTGGTGGGAAAAATTGGCACTTTTGAATTTTCGGAATTGTTTCTGTGTCCATTGCTCTGTACTGATGTCTACCTCGTAGAACCAAGAATTTTTGTGTGCTGTGTCCTCGGCGTCGAAACTGGCGATCAGT